GGACATATTGTGCTGTTTTCTGAGAGAAAGTCCCTCTGGAGTGGACACAGGGATTTTAGACTTTGGAGACAAAAGGTATATGAAACACTACAGGGAAGGGAACGCCCCCAAAAGGCATGATCGGGCTTTTGAACCCTAATAGTGACTAATACTCATTGATGGAGTCTACTTTCCTGAATTCGCCCTATGATATCCCGGGGTATACATTTAAAGTCCATAAAATGAGTATATTTGTAGTCCCCCTTCTTAATACGGCTCATTTCGAGCTGTGCTGCTCTCTGATAGGATGATGGAGGTTACCTGCAGTGAGTCTTGAGACCTGTTGGTCCCGTAGGTTACTTCTTACTTCTCTCGCCCCTGAGACCTTTACTGCCTTTTGCTCTTTGTATAGCATGTGGCTGATTTATTCAAAGTGCCAAAACGTACAATACATCCTCCTTTAAAGCGTCTGTAAAATATAATTTGTGTCGGCCATTATTCGTCTAAAAAAAGCACTGAATGTTTTGTGTTGGCCTGTGGATACTGTAGTGTTGGAAACTGTGTTGTTGCCAGCGCATTGACTATAAATATATACATGTGTTATGTTCTTACAAAGCCTGAGTGTGGGATTGAAGTCCATTGGCCAATTTTGTAATTAAAACACGAGATATGCCTACGGTTCGTTCAAACAAACACATCAGCAGGTAAAGATGTTTTCTATCTGCACACAGGAACAAAATAGATTGACCCAAAATAGATTGACCCTGTAGAAGCCATAAGAATTACCATAAGAAGCAAACGGACTACACATACTTTAATGTGAGGTACACAATACACAAGAATTAGGCAACAAATCCAGATGTGTGTGATTCGAGGTGATTCTCCAGTGATGTGAGGTTTTCCATCCAATGATCTGCTCAGAAGTCCATCCTGGCCGCACTGATCTCAAACAATAAACATGTTTAATAATTAAAACCCGATATCTTGTTTTGAGCGTGGAACACAGAGGACAGCCAAGGGCGATTTCCACCCACTATACGAACAAACATGATAAATGTATTATTTCCTGTTGTTATGTAGGGGGTCTCTCTTCTTCATCATCTGATGAGGTGCGAAAGATCTTTCTGTGTGGATCCTTTATTTTAAGGGATGGTCAGAAACTGACTGTCCCATGCATCAGGGTTACTTGACATTAGGCGCTTTCACACCGCAGTACTTTTCCCACAAAGGTTCATGAGAACTCTTTAGTCCTCATGAATTAAGTACAGATCGCGTTCACACCGGAATAAGTCCCTGGGGAAGGATTAGGAATGAAGCCGCTGACGTCACTACTTCTTCTTCTGCTTTGGGTTTACTGGCAGGCCGCAAACCACTTCACGGCGTATACTGCCACCCGGAGTCCCCGGCCGGAAGTCCCCGGAGTTGGGGACTGGCTTCAGTAGAAGCTGCTGGGACTCCCAGCTTCTGTTTTCTTTTGTGTTGCCACAAGTCTCTCTGCGTTTGTGCGATGGACTAATGCTAATGCTAATAATGCTAATGCGAGGATAATAAAATGGCGGCTTCACACATTTTTGTTTTAGTTTTACGGGGCGTGGTTTGCAATCCAGCCATCAGAAATAGGAACCTTTTTCTCTCATGAAAGCAGGGACGGGGGTAAAAAGGTTATCATGGACTAATTTTAGTTCCGGAAAAGTGGGAAACGTACTGACAAAGAGTGCATGTTTCTAGTGAAAGTAGAAAATCAGTCAAATGAACACTATGAAGGGCCAAACTATAGCTAACACAATTTAAAAGTAGGATATTATTTACATTAAGAGTGCAAGGAATAACACATTTGAAATGTAAAATGTACAGTAGAAGAAAACTCCAGTTAATACTATACTCGTTCCGGATGGATTTTTGCATGTGTTTTCTTTAAGCCCGCGTCACACTGTCCCCAAATTGACACCAGATGGACAGACGATAAAGGAAATGTTCAAATTCGCCTCTGATCGTAACAACATCAGGCCATTCGTGAGGGCATCTTAAGCCATCGTATGACCCCCGATGGAGTTTCTCAGGCTCCGGCAGCAACTTCGTGAGCGGTGGCAAAATCTTTGGCATGCCAACACATTGCCGAAGGACCTTGCGAAGGTTCATTTTCATGTTGAATTTGTGTGTCCATTTTGCCCTTCGTAAGGCCATCGTGAGGGCACCTTCTCAAATCGTGTCATGTTCGTGTGATCATCGGGCATTTTTCGCCTCACGAAGACAATACGAAGGAAACAAGAAGCTGCCCGATTGTCTTAGGAAGGCAACACGATGACGTGAAGCCCTCGCAATGCCGTCGTGTAGCCATCGTATTATAGTACGATGACATCGACATTGCATTTATTGCACAACAAAATCATGTAAACATATTTTGTAAATAACCCAATTTGTGTTCTGTGAAACTGAAAAGGATATTTCATTGTTTTTGTTACTTTCGTTGCAGTTGTATGTCTTAAATGTAATTTAGGTTAACTTCCTGTTTTATTTAGATGCTTTTATTTTTAAGACGAGTTTACGCTGTTGACAGGAAGTTGTTGTTGCTATGGAAACAACATGACAGAGTGTGTGGTTTGGGTGCCATCGTGTGGCCTTCTGTAGGCATCGTACTTGCTTCGGCTGTTGCTTGGCTGTTGACCAAGTTCGGGGCCATCTTCGTGCGAAATTCACAATTCCATATTCGTGTGTCGAATCTCATTTCGGCAAACATTTCAGGGCTTTGTGGACTTAATCCATGACAAAGTGGAGTTAAGACCAGGAGGCGGAGTCGCAGTCTTACACGCTTCTCTGCGCTCTCTCCTAGGCAGTCATCCATAGGAATCCCCAACCAAATAAAATACCCAATATTAGCGGTGTGTGTGTCTGCCCAAGGACAATTTAAGGTAAAACCTAATAGAGGTGTCATACATAATAACTAGGGCCGGGACTTTAACGCGTTAATTAAGATTAATTAATTACACAAAAATGAACGCGTTAAAAAAATTTACGCATTTTAATCGCACTTTAATCGCACTTATTTTTGCACAGCGGAACGTTTCTCACTGGATGAGTTTCAGGCGTACCGATTATACTGGAGCACCAACTAACGTTCATGACTTCAGCATGGGACTTCAAACAACAACAAACCACGGTGAACAATAGTCAAACATGAACGAACAAGCTGATGAGACCGCTTTGGTCGGCCCCGTGGATGGGAAATTTTGTTTTAAATAACGGACGGATGGAAGCGTCGATAAGAGCACGGTTGTGTGCAAATTATGCAAAAAATAATTTGCATATCACCTAAATGCAAAGCAGGGGCGGCGCCAGGGGGGAGCTAGGGGGTGCTGAAGCACCCCCCAGGATTGCCAAAGCACCCCCTAAGCACCCCCAAGAAATATGTGGTTTTTTTTTTTTTTTGAAAATTATTATTATTATTTTTATTAAATTAAATTAGAAATATTATTGATTACATCAATGCATATGTGAAACAAACACATTTTTGACCAAAAACATAAAGCCAACACAGGTGATATGATTAGGCCAATGGTCAGCACCCATTCGATTTTTGACCTACCCATAGGCTAAATTACTTTGTGACACTTGATTGACTTCCTGTTAGCTAGAGCGCCAAATGATTTGCTAACAGCAAAGTGAAAAATTGATCGTTTTTTAGTCCTTAAACGACCACGTGTGGACACTCAATCAAAACCACCTGAAAGCGAGAGGGATTCTGCACATAATAGGCCTCGTGAGTACAAGTAGCTTACTTCTGGGTCTCTGTGTTTCATTCAAGCCCTGCTCTGTGTGTGTGTGTGTGTGTGTGTGGCACGAGCCATTTTGTGTGCGTGCGTGCGCGAGCGAGCGAGAGAGCTCGCCTCGCGCACCAGTGGGTATCTACCGGAGATCGTTGTGGTTAGCATCTGGTGCTAGCTAGCCAAGCTAATGGATATAAGGAGCTTTTTCAACAACAAGGTGGAGGGAGAACTCTCTCCTGTCAGACGGAGAGTCTCAGGTAACCTCAACTCAGGTGAAGTAAAGGACTCTCTGTGTTTAGATAGTTAACTTTAGTCTAGTTATCTCAGTGGGTCTCAAACGGTTTGTTTTAAAAGGGGAGTGATTTGTAAAATATCTATAAAGAAATAGAAAATCTGTTGACAGTTCTGTTTCGTATGGGTGTTGAGATGTATCCATAGATCTCTTAATGTTGCTCTCAAAGTGCACCAGATTGATGCTTTTAACTTAAATATGTAACAAAAAATCTTCCCGGGGGAGCTAGCCCCCGGACCCCCCTAGAGGAGGTGAGGACCCTCCTAGAGGAGGTGAGGTCCGCTCCCCACTTGTAAAAATAGCACTTTACCCCTGCCTATATGCCGTGAGCTGATTATCGAGCCTTCATTGTAACAGTCGCGGGTGCACTGTGTGTGTGTGCGTGGGGAGTGTTGCAGTAGAAAATGCAACTGTAGCGCTGGTGCATTAATGGGAAACCCTAAATGTTTGAGCACCCTCTATGAAACGTCAAGCTACCCCACAGCACCCCCTAGAGAAAATCTCTGGCGCCGCCACTGATGCAAAGCATGTAGCAGCTAGCGTGGACGTTAGCCCGACTCCGAGTACAAGGAACCACACCCTGACCCAACCCACACTCAACCAGATAACTGGTTTCAGGGCCAGGATAAGTAAGTCCACGTCTGAGAAAATAACCAACTCCCTGGCTCACTGGATTGCACTCGACTGTAGACCACTTGGAGTGGTTGAAGATAAGGGGCTGCAAAAGGTACTCCAGATTGCATCGTCTGACGCAACATATGAGCTGCCATGCAGAAAGACAGTGACAAAAAGAATCCAGCAGCTTTATGACAATGAAAAGGAAGATAAAGAGAATTTATTGGAGAAAGCCGAATGTGTTGCCCTGACTGGGGATCATTGGACCAAGCAATTCAAATTACCTCGGTGTGACGGCACACTTTATTGACATCAAGTGGCGTCTTCACTCATTTGCCTTGACCATCCAGAAGACCACCACTAGGCACTTTGCTGAAAACGTGGCAGAAGATTTTGAGTCTGTGGCAGAGGCCTGGGAAGTCACACTAAAAGTCACCACAATCGGAACAGACTGTGCCCGAACCATGATCGCTGCAATGAGACTGCTCACATTCCAGCACATGCCGTGTGTTGATCACGTGTTGCAAAGGACCATCACAGTTTGCCTTGCTGACAGCGGGTTCACAGGCACATTGGCAAGATGTCGTAAGATAGTGGGGCATTTTAAACACAGCCCCTCAAACACAGAGGAACTGCACAAGGAGCAAACAGAACTAGAACAAGACAAAGAGCCACTGATACAGGATGTTTCCACAAGGTGGAATTCAACACTGTTTATGATCTCTCGTCTGCTGAAGAACCAAGAGGCTGTGAAGGCTACTCTAGCCAAACAGAAGCACAAGCTCACCATGTTGACTACAGCAGAGTGGGACAGACTGCAGAGGCTCGAGACCCTCCTTAAACCATGCAGGTAAACACCCACCAACTGTTTTATTACTGGGATTAATTCATCATTGCTGTCCCTTGAAAAACGTTGTGAATTGACTATGATTGTGCAGTATAAATTAAATTGCTTTTCCAAAATGTATTGTACTGAATATCAATATCACTATTGTAGAGGAAACTTCTGTGTAGCATGCAGTGGAGTCACCGACTCAGGAAGGAGACACGGGAAGAGTCGGAGCTTTGATGTCAAACCACTGTGATTTATTTGGAGTTGGTACCAGAGTATTCACATCACAAATCCAAGAGTCAGAGGTTCTGACTCCACGGTAGAGTTGCCACGTCAATTCTGGAGAGCCTCTCTCTTGCCAGCCCATCTAACTGGTTTCGCAGAGAGTAAACAACATATTTGAGGAGATAGCCTAAACAGTGTGGGAACACAGAGCTACTTGCTTCGGACACTTATGACCTCGAAGATTTTACCTTGGAGTCCACAAATACAGAGAAGGAAGTGTCCCAGTGTACCCACAACACAGACCATCTGTATCCCAGTATTGACCGGTCACAGAATGGGAACAATAACATTATTGGCTAAGCCGCCTGTGTCCTTAAAGAAGGTAAACAGACATCGAGGTTTGTCCTGTATGTTACAAATTGGCGTCTTATGATAATTATTTCCATAACAACTATGACTATAGTATAAAGTTGCTACTGTTTTTAATCTACTATTAATTGGTACAATAATAAATCACTTTCCTAAACTATCCACTGCAGATATGTGACTGAGCTCCTTGGGGGTGAGACTTATGTCTCGTGCTCTGTTGTGTTACCTGCTCTCCGCCACCTGACCCGCACCATGGAGGTCTCAGATGACGACCCAGCCTATGTGGTGAGGTTCAAGGCTGCCTTTAAAAAGGACCTGTCTCAACGCCAAGATGCACTCAACCATGGATGGCTCAGGGTGGCTACAGCACTCGACCCGCGCTTTAAGGTAACATATGTAATGGTCTTCTTTGTTTTTCTCTTTTCTTGCTTTTTGACCTCCTTTCCCCTGCCCCCCCCCTCTTCTTCCCTCCCCCCTCTTTCTTTCTATGGAATAACAATATGATGGGAACCATGTACGAAAATGAATTTCACCCACCTTTTTACTCTGTAAATCTGTGATGTGACAATAAACCTGATTCTGATTCTGATTCTAAGGACCTAAAGTGTCTACCAAGAGGAGAGCGAGGAGGGGTGTGGACCAGTGTTGAGGCACTGCTGCAAAAAGAACCAGACAGAGCCACTCCAGAAACCACAGGGGAGTCAGCAAGGAAGAGGAGCTTCCTGCTGTTTAATTCAGACTCTGAATCAGAGGATGAAGAAGGGCCCAACGGGGCTCTGGGCCGCTACAGGGCAGAGCCCACCATCAGTGAGACAGACTGCCCACTGCAGTGGTGGTCGACTCATGAGGGGGCCCATCCACAGCTTTCTGCCCTGGCCCGCAAGTATCTGGGCAGCCCTGCCACTTCTGTCCCTTGCGAGAGACTTTTCTCACTGGCAGGTAACATAGTTCAAAAGAAGAGGGCAGCCTTGAGCTCTGAAAATGTGAACAGGCTAGTTTGTCTCAGCAACTGGCTGAAAGAGAAGAAGCAGAATAAGTAGTCTTAGAGGTATCCTGAGGCCAATGGGCTTGTTACTGAAATGTTGATCAAACAGTGGCCTACGCAACAGAGATTTTATTTTTCATCAGGATATTGGAAGAATAGGAGGGATTGAGGTCAATCACTGGCACTTTTTTTATTTTATTTTAAATGGTACACTTGATGTTGAACTATTTATTATGTTGTTGGTGCAACTGGCACTTTATGTTGAACTGTTTATTGTTTTGGCCAAGGTTATTGAGATAGTTAGACTGAAATTGATTAGATTTTTTAAATCAACAAAGTCTGTTATGGCCTCTGAAGCAAGAGAGATGTTTTCGAATAGTCAGGGTTTCCAATGTTCTAAATGTACTAGAAAGTATTGTGTTTTACTTAAAAAAGTACCACCTTGAAAAAAAATAAACAATGTTTTGTTGCTTATGTATTCAGTCATTATTCAATGGTATACTAAAATCCATGTGAAAATTGCTTCTCACTGTTCTCAGGTCAAATATGTATATTTGATTAAAAATGCGATTAATTTCGATTAATTAATTACAAAGCCTCTAATTAATTAGATTCATTTTTTTAATCGAGTCCCGGCTCTAATAATAACCTAATAAAAGTAAATGTAACAACTACTACAGTGCAACAAAACAGGAAGATTAAATGTGGTCTCTTAAACATAAGATCTCTAGCATCTAAAGCAATATTGGTAAATGATTTAATATCAGATTATAATATTGATATATGCTGTCTCACTGAAACTTGGTTGAGACATGAAGAATATGTCAGCATAAATGAGGCCACTCCACCCAGCCATCAATACTCATATTGCCCGAGGCACGGGTCGAGGAGGTGGAGTTGCAGCAATCTTTGACTCAAGTTTACTTATCAATACTAAACCAAAATTAAATTATACCTCCTTTGAAAGCCTCGTTTTTAGTCTTACGCATCCGACCTGGAAAACTTTGCAGCCAATCTTATTTGTTACAGTGTACCGTGCACCAGGTCCTTATTCAGAATACGTTTTGATCAACTTTGGTACTTAAAACAGATAAAGTAATTATCGTAGGTGACTTTAATATTCATGTTGACGATGATAAAAATAGCCTTACTGTTGCAAATAACTCTATATTAGATTCTGTTGGTTTTTGTCAGAGTGTAAATAAACCAACCCACTGCTATAATCACACTCTCGACCTTGTTCTGACTTATGGTATTGAAATTGAGCAACTATTAGTCGAACCGCATAATCCTGCTTTATCCGACCATTTCTTAGTGACATTTGAAGTACTGTTACGAGACTACAAAGCATTAGTCAAAAGCTCCTGCAGCAGAAACCTATCTGTTAGTGCTATAGCCAAATTTAAGGAAGATATTCCACCAATACTTAACTCGATAGCATGTCTGCATGTAGGGGAGGAAACTTATACAAAATGTACACCACCCCAAATTGATCATGTTGTTGATAGTGCTACAGATGCGCTGCGAATAAAATTAGACTCTGTTGCTCCTTTGGAAAAGAAGAAAATAAAACAACATAGATTAGCTCCATGGCATAATGCCCAAACCCGCAAAATAAAGCAAAAGTCGAGACAACTTGAAAGGATATGGCGTTCCACTAAACTTGAAGAATCTCGTTTAATTTGGCATATTGCTCTCAATGAATATAAGAAAGCACTGCGTAAAGCGAGAGCAGCCTACTACTCTTCATTAATAGATGAGAATAAGAATAATGCAAGATTTCTTTTCAGCACTGTAGCCAGGCTGACAGAAAGCCACAGCTCGATTGAGCCTTCTATTCCCATAGCACTCAGTAGTAATGATTTTATGTGCTTTTTTAACGATAAAATTGTTACTCTTAGAAACAAAATGAATGACCTCTTGCCTTTGACCAGAATAGTGTTATCAACAGCTCCCGGAAACGTAAGTTCTAATATTACACTAGATAGTAAACTAGAATGCTTTTCAGCCATAAACCTTGAACAATTAAATTCAATGATTCTCTCTTCTAAACCATCAACATGTATGTTAGACCTAATTCCAACTAAGCTGTTGAAGGAAGTTTTTCCATTAATTAGCACTTATTTATTAAATATTATGAATATGTCTTTATTATCAGGCTATGTTCCACAATCAATCAAAGTAGCAGTGATAAAACCGCTTCTTAAAAAGCACAACCTCGATCCAGAGGTTTTAGCCAATTATAGACCTATTTCTAATCTTCCGTTCCTCTCAAAAATTCTTGAGAAAGCGGTCGCAAAACAGTTGTGTGATTACTTAAAAAACAATGATTTATTTGAAGCTTTTCAGTCTGGCTTTAGAACACATCATAGCACAGAGACAGCTCTGGTTAAAGTCACAAATGACATTCTAATAGCCTCAGACAAGGGACGTGTCTCTATTCTTGTTTTGCTCGATCTCAGTGCTGCATTTGATACTATCGACCATGATATCTTATTGCAAAGACTAGAGCACTTAGTTGGCATACAGGGAACTGCTTTAGGCTGGTTTAGGTCCTATCTATCTGAACACTCTCAGTTTGTATGTGTCAATGATGAATCTTCCACGCAAACCAAAGTTAGCCATGGAGTGCCACAGGGCTCAGTGCTCGGACCTATTTTGTTCACATTATATATGCTTCCGTTAGGCAATATTATAAGGAATCATTCTGTAAACTTTCATTGTTATGCGGATGATACTCAACTATATTTATCAATCAAGCCTGATGAAATTAATCATCTAAATAAAATTCAAGACTGCCTCAAGGACTTAAAAACGTGGATGACCTTGAACTTTTTGATGTTAAACACGACCAAAACGGAAGTTATTGTACTTGGCCCGAATAATCTACGAAACAAATTATCTAAGGATATACTAACTATGGATGGCATTAATTTGGCCTCCAGTGAGACTGTAAGGAATCTTGGTGTTATATTTGATCAGGATTTATCCTTTAACGCCCACATAAAATCAATTTCAAGGACCGCCTACTTCCATCTACGTAACATTGCAAAAATCAGGCATATCTTGCCTCAAAACGATGCAGAGAAACTGGTCCATGCATTTGTTACTTCAAGGCTGGATTATTGTAACTCTTTACTATCAGGGTAAAACACAATGCTGCAGCTCGTGTTTGTCGGGGGGACATCTTACTTCTTCCTTCTCTCTGTCTATACCTGTGTACTCTCATGTTCCGATTAACCCAGCTTCCCCAAATTTCTTTCTTTTTGGTGTCTATATACGTCTATATATCCTGGATCGCGAGCCCTGGATCTTGAGTCGTGGCTGTGGTCCTGGATCATAGGTTCTGGATGGATATCCTCGTGGATTCATCTTCCTATTATACACACATGCATTTCCAAACATTTGGACTACCTATGTTGCAAATGTATTATCTTTTCAATTTACACACGGCATCTATTGCACGTCTGTCCGTCCTGGGAGAGGGATCCCTCCTCTGTTGCTCTCCCTGAGGTTTCTCCCATTTTTCCCTTTAAACTGTGGGTTTTCTCCGGAAGTTTTTCCTTGTACGATGTGAGGGTCTAAGGACAGAGGGTCTAAGGACAGAGGGTCTAAGGACAGAGGGTGTTGTATTGTCATACTGATATTTTGTACAAACTGTGAAGTCCACTGAGACAAATGTAACATTTGTGATATTGGGCTATATAAATAAACATTGATTGATTGATTGATTGATTGATTGATCTGGTGTCAATTTCGGGACAGTGTGACAGGGGATTTACCAAAATACAGTGCAATTATCAAATAAAGCAAAAACAACACCATTTTTATTGAATATTTTGCTTGTATGCATCAACAACTTTAAATCTAAATCTGTAAGTCTGGGAAAAAGACCGGATCTAGCAAACCACAACCATCTGGTGACCTGTATGACTGCGAGTTCTGCACAGTTTGGTAAAGGCTCCTTATATCAGCTGCTGTAACCTTGTTGGTTTTCTTCTCATCATTTGGCTTTAACAGTAATGTATCCATACATTGTGGATTCTCCTTATGAGCCAGGCGTTTCTTGTGAGTCTCGATCCTGTGTATCTCTGGTAAATGCTGATTGATTGACATCTGACACAGGCACTAGTGATAACCTTTCCTTGCTTTCTGAACAGCCATTGGATAAAAGCCATGTTTTTGAAGGGCGGCTGTCAATTACATACGGGTCGTTGCCTCAATTTGCAGGATGGGGGTAAGATTGATAGCTCCTGCAGTGCAGAACCTGTTGAGGAAACGAAATGACTTGTTTAGGTTTAGGAAAAGGTCGTAGTTTGGGTCAAAACACAAGGCAACACATGTCCTTACTGCACTTCAAGAGTTCATTTCAGACAAACAGCCCTTTGGTGGATCCCCTCTCCTAAAAGTATCTTATTTTGATTTGTCATGTACTGTACTAGTTTATGCAACAAAACTCCTTGCTTAAAATCTCACTCGTCTCCGGCTTGACCTTCAATCTCAGGATCCATGTATCTGTGATCCTCTCCAGAATGGAAGGAGTCATCACATACAGAGCATCAACTAGTTCCTGAACAGTGTCCTTCACATGCTGATATCCAAGAGAGGGAGTTACACAGTCACAAGATGGAGGAATGCCGCTTCTTGTTATCATACATCCTGTCATGAACAAAAATAGAGTTTTTCTCTAAATGTTGGCTTTTTCCGGAAATCTCAAAATCCTGATTTTTCCTCAATCTCAAAATTATGACTTTTTCTCAAAATCATGACTTTTTCTTAAAATTATGACTTTTTCTCAATTTTATGAATTTTCCTCAAAATTCTGACTTTTTCACAAAATTCTGACTTTTTCACAAAATTCTGACTTTTTCTCAAAATTCTGACTTTTTCTCAAAATTCTAACTTTTTCACAAAATTCTGACTTTTTCTGAATACTTAAAAATGTCAATAATCACTGGTCCCCGGCTTGAGTTTAAATCTCAGGATCCATGTATCTGTGATCCTCTCCAGAATGGAAGTAGTCATCACATACAGAGCATCAAGTAGTTCCTGAACAGTGTCCTTCACATGCTGATATCCAAGAGAGGGAGTTACACAGTCACAAGATGGAGGAATAGAAAGCAGTATTCAATGTTTACTTCAGATTAGCTCCACGTCAGAAATGAGCATGCTTGATGTCTCTCTCCATAGAGGCTGAATCATCATGTTAATCACATAGCTATCACAACACTTAAGTTTTAGAATAGATTTAGAAAAAATGCAATGTGTTGATCCCAATAGGAGAAATA